AAAAAAAAAAAAAAATTACCCCAATTTGTAATATACATCACATAGTATCATGTTATAATCATACATTTAATTTTATTTAAGTGTGGGTGCAGAAATCATTGCATTATATATATTTAAATCATTTTCTTTGTTCCAATAACCTAAATAATGAATAAATTTAGAAATCTGCATAATCTCATTTTCTTTATTTCTAAAGCTGAAATAATGCATAAAATTCCTTTTTAGTTTTTTAAAAATCTGTTATCATCCAACTCGGTAAATCGAAGTTAGCAACCCTTAAACCGCATATTAAGTGAAGCATTGCCAACAATAATATGGCCGACAATCACCCTGGTCCGCACACCGAACCGGTCAAGCCATATAAGACCGAGATAATCCTTACAACCGAGGTCATTACGAACCGAAATCAACGCAAACCGAGGTCGTCACCTCCTAAGCAGGTGACAAGGCACCTACACACCATTCTCACGAACTACGAGATCTGCTATCATTCAAGTGGGACCCACTGAATCCTGCCGCCCAACAAAAGTAGCTTTATGGAAAAAGCATCGCACAAATCCCGATATATATCGTAAAAAGTTACTATAAGTAGTATCTCCTGATATTTGTACGGGGGACCTCCGAAAAACACATAGAACTTTTACAATGAAACACGAAACAGCTCACAGAAGCTTTTCACCTCGGTTCACCTCGGACCGGGGCCATTGTTGAGTATTCCATACATATCTTGTGTTCAAATCACTAATAATCACCAAGTAAATCTATCATTACATCGTTGTTAACAATCACATAACAACAAAATCTTACACAAACAAATAATACTATTCAAAATTAAAAATTTGTGATCAATATAGTGATTCATATATACTTAAATAATTTATATTTATATTATTTTACTTTTACTAATGATTAAATCTTCAAAATATGATATGTTTATTATCTATAGTTTTAAAATTAAATTTGTACATATTACTTATACTATTTTATAAACAGTTGGTTATGTGCATGATTACTAGTTGTACCAGTAATATGATAATTAAGCATTAAATGTATAACTTTTTTTTTATATAAAAATAAAATGATTTTGTCACAAAATTTATGTGAGATAAAATTTGCATGCAGGAATTGAACAACTTGGACTCACAATTGCCAAACATGCAGCCACGTGGCCCCACAA